GCTCAAAACTCAGTCACTCACCTAACATGTCAAGCATGATTGTCGTGCATAGAGAATGTCAAGTATTGCATCACAAGTATTGGTTAATCTAATTAGCAACATATCCACAGTTTTGTAAGTTACACCAATCCAATATTTACATCATAGCCGGCAAGGCTATCAAGCCCACACAGGTACTCATGAAAGGAAATAAAGTAAATTGGATAAAATGCACAATTTTAATTTAAAATTTTTTTTTGTAACACTCATCAAGCACACATGTAAAAATGAAACATATATACTGAAGAGACACAAATATTGATTAATTTATGCATAGTGATGTAAAGATGTCCAAAATTATGTCACCCCCAAATGTAGTTAATACATTGTCCTCGATGAATAATTAACAAAGGTTGAAGGACATAATTGAAGGACAATTTCATAAAAATCAAAAGTAGTAGACAATACTCCCATGATCAATATGGAGGTGGTGATGGGAAGATGTTTCCTATTGTACCATCATCTGGAGGTGGAGGTAGGCGCGCAAAAATCTCTCTCATCATTGCTGATTGTTGCGCCATCTCATCTTGGATTCCGCCAACATGTGTCTCCATGTGGCCCAGACATTTCCAAGTCTCATTCACTCGTATCTGGAAGCCATCCACCCAGCCTACATACATACTCAGTCAACCGTTCATTATTTTCATCTCCCTCCTAACTGCTTGGGAATCTAGGTGAGCGACTCATGCCATATCAGTCGCGATACGAGTGTCACGTGGGGCTGTCTGCATGTCAATCGTCAAAGCCCCATAGCCTACTGGAGACCCTGTATGTCACGGCTAGTTCCTGCGGTGGTGGCGAATATCTGACGCCGCAACTGTATATTCACCTCAATCTGTGGTGGTAGAGCTTGTGGCATCTCTTGATCTGCAGGCACTTGACCCTGTTCTTCCTACTGCATGTGGCGCTCATTCTCTTGATTTTCCTTGTGCTTTATCCCAGCTCTGTCTTGAGCTTCCAGTGTACTGTGCTTTATAGGGGGTTGGGTTTAGTAGGTGCCTGCCCTGGTGCGATACTGATGCTAGCAGCCATGTATGTGTTGGAGATAAGGCTGGGAAAAATCATTGAACCGTGCTTGTCTCCTAAAATACCCACATGATGGATCTGATTATAGCAGAGAGGTGAGATCGATCTTATTTTCCCGCACCAAGTGATAGATGAACCCGGCTATGGGATCTGTGAATGTGGTCTTATGCGAGGTCGGCTCAATGTTATGGCACATAAACAGTCAAAAGATGGCTATAGACGGTGTCAGCTCAATCTGGTGCCATGCAGTGGAGGGGGAGTGGCCATGCAATTTGTCGTCCTAATAGGATCTTTGTTACTTCATTCCAATTGAAATTGCTCGGAATGGGGGTTATGTTGTCCCACATGAGCTGATAGTAGTCATGAATAACCTCTGGTGAGAACATAATCCACTGTCTCCTGACCTATGTCTGATGCAAGTGGTCGGACCATGGTGTGTCGATCTGTGCATTGAAGTTCGCATAGAATTCTCCCACCAGTGATTCATAGATCAGATGTGGCTGCTCTACTACCTTTGCCCACCCATAGTTATCCACCAAAGTGATCAAATCAAAACCTGGAAAATCCTCTAATTTAACCGCCCGCTCTGGTGTTACTATCCACCGACTCACAATGTTTTCATAGCCGGTTGCTGTCTCGAAATTCAGAAATCTTTGTATCCTCCCTTCAAGAACTCAAGTACGGGTTGTTCCAGAAGATAAGCCAATTTTTTCTTTCCCTTTCGAGGTTCATTTTGGAGGCATCCTGCAAAGTTGTGAAGTAACACTCATTAGGTTTCATGTTGACACCAAGGCATGGAATAAGGCAAACTAGGCATATATTGTCCAAATCCCTCAAACGTGCTTCAAAATGCATGTACATGAAGTTGACATTTTAAATGCATAAAATAAGTCCCAAAATAGGGTTATCATGTCAAAAGGAGGATTGACCAATAAGACTCGACTTGAAGAAGCATTTATGGAATTTATGTTCCATGATCGACCTATGGCTTTCATCGCCGGACATCATCGAGAAAGGTTGAAATTTTCCTGAGCAACCTCTAGGCAAATGAGAGTGTGCAATATGTTCTACCACATATTCAAATTTCCAATCAAATGGATGTGATTAGATGTGTCAAATTATGTGCCAAAAGTGGGTAACGTGAGGTGTCGTGACATGCCTTGACCTAGCCATGTGCCTATGTGTTGCAAAATGGATATAGATGTTTTCTATTTCAATTGATGTGAGAATTCATCACAATGTGTTAGCCACTATGTTTGTCAATCATCGCTCATGCAAAGAAAGCACCAAATTGTACACAAATTGTTACTAAGGCATTTCATCAAACACATTATGAGCATTTTAAGGTTTTCACTACTTTGGTATATGAAGCTCTCTAAACTAGTATCCAATGTCACAAATTAATCATATACACCACAATTACCCAACCTCCATCGAATACCAATCAAATAAAAACAATTTTCCCAATTTCGGAATTGATGGAATAGGTGTAGAGAATTTACCTTGCAAACTTGTCAAGATTTAGAACTATATTATACCACCACGAGATGAATGACAAGATGAGTTGTAATGTGGGTTATGAATTGTGATGAGTTGTGGGTCTTGTGTTTGTGGTGTGCGAGTTGAGATGCACGGGATGAGAGTGCCAAGAGTTGTGCGTGAGTGTGAGAATGAGTGTCATGTGTTTTAAAGTAAATTTTTTTTGTTTTTTTTTTTTTACTAAATGCACGTGAAAAATTTTTAAGAATACAATTGATTCCCCAAAATTCAACCTTATCCAAAATTTCCCCCAAATTCTTGGTTTTCAACATGTGACTTCGAACTGGCCTTTCATCGTCTCCCAAAATTTATCAAAACACATTAGACCATATGGGGCACGTGTAGGATATTGACTTAGTTCCAAACTCACTTTTTAAAATTGAAGTCACCCTTTGGTTCCCGAAGTACTTTAAAACACACTTTCTGCCTCGAAATGCATGATGTTCACATCCAATCACCTAAACACTAAATCAATCATTCCTTACTTGTGCTCGATGATTAGGGACCCGTGTGGGTAGTGCTTAGACTCGATTGACATCATGGATGATCGATGACCTAAACCTAAAAAAAATCAAATGTTAAAATCAAAATTTCCTAAGCTAATGCCAAAATTAAAAGTAATGAAAAGGATACAGTAGGTTCCCTTCCACCCAGCGCTAGTTTATAGTAGTTAGCTCGACTTTCCCGTAGCTGCTTCATTCTGGAGTCCCGAGTTGAACGGTGGACTTTTGCTTAGAGAAGTCACCGCCCCAGTAGTGTTTCACCCTTTGCCCGTTAACTATGAAAGTACCCTTAGTTTCATAGCTGACTTCTATAGCCCCATATGGTAACACCCTAGTAACTGTATAAGGATCCGACCACGTTGTCCTTAAATTTCCCGGAAAGGGCTAGAGTCTAGAGTTGTACAATATCACTTTCTGCCCCACTTCAAACTCTAGCCTCTGAATATGCATGTCGTGTCACTTCTTGGTTAGCTCTTTGTAGAGCCTTCCATTTTCATATGCTTCCATCCGAAATTCATCTAACTCATTCAGTTGCAACAATCTCTTTTCACCGACGACCTTCGACTCCATGTTTAACTGTTTCATAGCCCAATGTGCCCGGTGTTCTATCTCTAGTGATAGGTGGCATGCTTTCCCAAAAACTAGGCAGTATGGAGACATCCCTATTGGTGTCTTGAATGCTGTTCTATAAGCCCACAAAGCATCGTCCAACTTTTTAGACCTATCATTTCGAGATGAATTCACTGTAACCTCAAGTATTCTTTTCAATTGCCGATTAGAAACTTCCACTTGCCCGCTGGTCTGTGGATGATAAGGAGTGGCGACATGATGTTTGACGCCATATTTATTCAACAACTAATCAAACTGGCGATTACAAAAGTATTTTCCCCTGTCACTAGTTATAGCCTACGGTGTGCCATATCGGGTGAAAATGTACTTCTTCATGAACCCAATTACGGCCTTCGCGTCATTTGTTGGCAATGCAACTGCTTCCACACATTTGGATACATAGTCTATTGCTACCAAGATGTACTGATAGGAGAAGGACGGGGAAAAAGGTCCCATGAAATCAATCCCCCAAACATCAAATATTTCCACTTCCAAAATGTTGTTCAATGACATTTCATTCCTTCTCAAGATATTTCTAGTACGCTGACACCTATCACACATCTTCACAAATTCAAAGGCGTCTCTGAATAATGTAGAGAATCCGATCTTCCCCGAAGTAGTACTTTAGTTCGATAAAGAACTTTTTCTTCCGGTGACTTGAGTAATTTGGTGGTGGAATGGACTTGGCCAAGTAATTGACAATGTCTGCGTACCAAGGTGCTTCTTCTACGCTCAACATTTGTTCATCTGGGATAATTTCGTTAATATCCATTAATTCTTCTGTCTCCTCAGACTCTAATGGGGACAGATGATCTGCTACCACATTTTCACTCCCCTTTTTGTCTCTGATTTCATGTCAAATTCTTACAACAACAATATACATCGCATCAATCTCTACTTCGCATCCTTCTTTGTTAGCAGATACTTCAGTACAGTGTGATCTGTGTAAACTATGACCTTAGATCCCACAAGATATGATCTAAACTTGTCGAATGCATATACTACGGCTAAGAGCTCATTTTTAGTGGTAGCGTAATTGATCTGGGCACCATTTAGTGTTCTTCTTGCACAGTTGATCACGTGAAAAACCTTGTTTCTCTGTTGTCCCAATACTGCACCCACAGCGTGATCACTGGTATTACACATTAGTTCAAAAGGCAATTCCCAATTTGGCGCTAAGTTACCGGTGCTGACGTGAGTTTCTCCTTCAAAGTGTTGAATGCTGTCAGGCATTCCTTAATAAACTTAAAAGGTACATCCTTCATCAGTAGATTGCACAGCGGCTTAGTGATTTTCAAAAAATCCTTTATAAATCTCCCGTAAAAACCCCGCATGCCCCAAGAAACTATGGACCCCTTTAACTAATGTTGGTGGTGGTAGCTTCTCAATAACCCGAAGTTCTGCTTTGTCCACCTCAATTCCCGTTGCTGAGACCCGATGTCCAAGTACAATTCCTTCCTGTACCATAAAGTGACATTTTTCCCAGTTCAGAACTAAGTTAGTTTCCCTGCATCTCTGTAAGATCAAATTTAAATCTCCAAGCATTCATCAAATGATGATCCAAAAACTGAGAAATCGTCCATGAACACCTCTATGAATCTTTCAATCATATCAAAGAATATTGCCATCATGCATCTATGAAATGTAGCTAGAGCGTTGTACAGACCAAATGACATCTTACGGTAGGTGAAAGTACCGTAAGGACAAGTGAACGTGGTCTTTTCTTGATCCTCTGGTGCAACTGGTATCTGGTTGTAGCCGGAGTATCCATCAAGAAAATAGTAGTGTGAATGCCTTGCCAACTTTTCTAGCATCTGATCAATAAACGGGAGTGGAAAATGGTCCTTTCGTGTAGCTGCATTGAGTTTGCGATAATCAATGCAAACTCTCCATCCTGTCACTATTCTGGTAGGAATTAGCTCACTTTTCTCGTTTTGCACCACTGTGATTCCCCCTTTCTTCGGCACAACTTAAACTGGGCTAATCCATGCACTGTCTAAAATTGGGTATATAATGCTGGCATCCAATAATTTCAATACCTCTTTCCTTACCACTTCCTTCAAGTCTACTCTGTCCTTCTATACTTGGCGTACAATTCTCCTCCATGAGAATTTTGTGCATACACAGTGAAGGACTAATCCCTTTAATGTCGGCTATTGTCCACCTAATCGCGGTCTTATTTTCTTTGAGTACCCTAAGCAGTCTTTCTTCCTCCACCTCACTAACTGTGTTTGAAATAATCACCGGGAGTGTACATGGCTCTCCCAAATAAGCATATCTGAGATGTGGGGACAGTTGCTTGAGTTCCAATACTGGCGGCTGCTGAATGGAAGGTAATAGTTTTGTGGTCCATGTTCCTAGCTTTTCGAAATGTCTCTTTCGTGTGTATGGTGGCTTGGTCTCCAGAAACTTTGCACATGTCTCAATCTCAAGAGAGCCTGACTGGGCTGAATGAGAATGTGCAACACACGCCTCATAAGCATCGGATGTGCTGTTAAGTAAGAATGTCTCTTGGACCACCATATCAATGACATTGACTTGGATATAGCTATCTGATTCTGAAGGGAGTTTCATGGCCTTAAAGACTTTGAATGATATTTGCTCCTCCCCCAATCTCAAAATTAATTATCCCCTCTAAACATCAATTAAGGCTCTCCCTGTTGCCAAAAATGGTCTGCCGAGTATCAACGGGATGTCCTTGTCTTCCTCCATGTCCAAGATGAGGAAATCTGCAGGAAATATAAATTTTTCAACCTGATGTCCAAGTACAATTCCTTCCTGTACCATAAAGTGACATTTTTCCCAGTTCAGAACTAAGTTAGTTTCCCTGCATCTCTGTAAGATCATATTTAAATCTCCAAGCATTCATCAAATGATGATCCAAAAACTGAGAAATCGTCCATGAACACCTCTATGAATCTTTCAATCATATCAAAGAATATTGCCATCATGCATCTATGAAATGTAGCTAGAGCGTTGTACAGACCAAATGACATCTTACGGTAGGTGAAAGTACCGTAAGGACAAGTGAACGTGGTCTTTTCTTGATCCTCTGGTGCAACTGGTATCTGGTTGTAGCCGGAGTATCCATCAAGAAAATAGTAGTGTGAATGCCTTGCCAACTTTTCTAGCATCTGATCAATAAACGGGAGTGGAAAATGGTCCTTTCGTGTAGCTGCATTGAGTTTGCGATAATCAATGCAAACTCTCCATCCTGTCACTATTCTGGTAGGAATTAGCTCACTTTTCTCGTTTTGCACCACTGTGATTCCCCCTTTCTTCGGCACAACTTAAACTGGGCTAATCCATGCACTGTCTAAAATTGGGTATATAATGCTGGCATCCAATAATTTCAATACCTCTTTCCTTACCACTTCCTTCAAGTCTACTCTGTCCTTCTATACTTGGCGTACAATTCTCCTCCATGAGAATTTTGTGCATACACAGTGAAGGACTAATCCCTTTAATGTCGGCTATTGTCCACCTAATCGCGGTCTTATTTTCTTTGAGTACCCTAAGCAGTCTTTCTTCCTCCACCTCACTAACTGTGTTTGAAATAATCACCGGGAGTGTACATGGCTCTCCCAAATAAGCATATCTGAGATGTGGGGACAGTTGCTTGAGTTCCAATACTGGCGGCTGCTGAATGGAAGGTAATAGTTTTGTGGTCCATGTTCCTAGCTTTTCGAAATGTCTCTTTCGTGTGTATGGTGGCTTGGTCTCCAGAAACTTTGCACATGTCTCAATCTCAAGAGAGCCTGACTGGGCTGAATGAGAATGTGCAACACACGCCTCATAAGCATCGGATGTGCTGTTAAGTAAGAATGTCTCTTGGACCACTATATCAATGACATTGACTTGGATATAGCTATCTGATTCTGAAGGGAGTTTCATGGCCTTAAAGACTTTGAATGATATTTGCTCCTCCCCCAATCTCAAAATTAATTATCCCCTCTAAACATCAATTAAGGCTCTCCCTGTTGCCAAAAATGGTCTGCCGAGTATCAACGGGATGTCCTTGTCTTCCTCCATGTCCAAGATGAGGAAATCTGCAGGAAATATAAATTTTTCAACCTTGATAAGTACATCGTCTATTATTCCCCTTGGGTGGGTCAGCGACCTATCAGCCAACTGCAGTGTTACGGTAGTCACTTTAGCCTTTCCCAAGCCGAGTTTCCTGAAATCAGACAGAGACATTAAATTAATACTTGCACCAAGATCACATAAGGTTTTATCAAAATAAACTTCACCAATAGTACAAGGAACAGTAAAACTCCCATGATCTTTCAATTTTAGCGGGAGCTTTTTCTGAATTCTGGCGCTACATTCTTTTGTAACCATTATTGTCTTGTGGTCATTCAGCTTGCATTTATTTGATAGAATGTCCTTTAGAAACTTTGCATAGCTGGGCATTTGGGATAGTGCATCTGTTACATAGCTGGGCATTTGGGATAGTGCATCTGCTAGTGTGATATTGATGTGGAGCTTTTTGAAGACTTCGAGGAATTTCTTGTACTGCTGCTCCATTTTATGTTTCCTCAACCCCTGGGGAAATGGAATTGAAAGCTCGTATGGGTTGACTATAACCATGGCTTTATCCTGTGAATTCTTCGAACTTTCCTTTGGAGTTGATTCTTTTGGTCGTTCGTCCTGTTCCATAGTTTCTTCCTCTTTAGGAAGTAGTTCTCTCATGACACCCGGTCTCTTAACACGTATTTCGGGTAGCTGCATCCCACTTCGAGTTGTAATAGCCTTAGCTTACTCCTTGGGGTTAATTTCTGTGTTACTCGGTAGATTACCCGGTGCTCTGCCAGTCAACGCCATGGCTAGCTGTTCCATCTGAGTTTCCAAATTTTTAATGGCTTCATTTTGGTTCTGAAGGGTAGCCTTGGCTTTCTCCATGAATTTCCCTAACATTTCTTCCAATTGAGGTCTCTTCTCTTGTTGTTAAAACTGTTCCCATGGCTTATTCTGATTCTGGTTGATCCAAAAAAAGTTGGGACGCCTCTTCCAGCTGGGATTGTAAGTTTTCCCATATGAGTTGTTCTGTTGGCACTGTCCCCACTGTGCATAGTTTGCCTGCTCAATTCCTTGCATTATGATTGGGCACTCTGATGTTTTATGCTCAACTCCACATTCCTCACAATTGCTCTTCTTAACGTGTGCTGACTGTGACATGCTTTCAACCTTGTAACACAAAGAGTCGATCTTTGCGGATATGGCTGAATAAGTGTATATCCGTAGACACCCAGACCTTTTCTTTGGGATCACCCTGTTAGAAGACCACATGGCTGAAGTGGTAGCCATTCTCTCGAATAATTCCAGTGCCCCATCAATTGTTCATGTGGATATTGAGCCATCTGATCCTGAGTCCACCATGCCTTTGTGGTAAGGAAGTAACCCTGTATAAAAGAATCAAATTTGGGTCTTTTTGTCAAACCCATGTTGAGGGCACTTTTGGAGCATGTTTTTGAATCTGTTCCAGGCGTCGTCAAATGATTCAGTTCTACCATAAAATTGATGTCCATTCTGGAATAGCTGTATCACATTGGTCTTCAACTGGAAGTTTGGTTGTCCAAACGATGGATACACTATACTGGACTAGCTTTGAATCACATGAGGAGTCAAGAAATCTCCCAAAATTTCATTTCCTTCATCCAGCGCCTCTCCTTCATTAGCTTGAAAAACGGGGTTGTTCTATAAGTTAGCCATTTGCTCTTGTTGTTGTTGACATGCTTCTCTATTTTCTCGTTGCAATCAGTGAAAGGTTCACTCAATTTTTAGGTCTGCTGAAATTAATTCTCCTCCCGTCGTTGTAGACATGCAACTCTACGAGAGAATCAACAGTAGCACTCAGATTCAATCAATATAAATAACTAAAATAAAAATAAAGCAAAATGCCTAAACGAAATTAAATGTATAAATAAAAATTAAATTGAAAGTTCGAATTAGTGTCTAGAAAGAAATAAAATTAAACTAAACTCAATCCCCGGCAACGGTGCCAAAAACTTGTTCACGAAATATTTTTTTCGATTTAAACCACCCAAGTATACGGTTCATTAACAAGTAATAAAGTGGATATTTGAGTCCCAATATCTTTCCACAGGGATCGAGTAGTTCAATTATATCTATCGTAGCTTTAACCGAAACTAAATTATCCAAATTGAATTCTTAACCGAAGGAAACCCTAATTATGCAAATGTTATGAATTAAAGGACCTAATATGCAAAATGATGTTTTAATTAATTAAAATGCAGATTAAATGGTTCGAACACAAGTTTGTTGTATACAATGAATGCTAATCGCACTAGGATCATGAATTCCCATGCAATGATTCACCTTAAAACCTAGTTTCACAAATGATACATGATTGAATTATTGACGAATCAATGCTCCTCATTCTATCCAATACTCCCCCTCGAGATGTATTGAACCTATTTTTATATACCACCGGCCTATATTTCTATGACAAGTGCATATATAAAAATACATTCGATTTTATGAGCACTTAAAGATTCATATAAAACAACAGAGGTATATCACTATCCCCTATCGGACCCTACGAAAAATTATACCTTGTCGAATTTATTTCTCTTCTCTCAAACAGATGAAATAAACCACTACACGTCACATAATTACATGCACTTAATTATGGAAGAAAATCAATGCATATAATTCATTCAAATATCCAAATACGCGTTTTAATGTCAACTTCCAAAACTAGAAAATTAAAGATTACATTACATGGTTCATCGATCTCCTAGTACATGAAAATCTAGCCTAACATGGAGAAAGAATCAAAATACATAGTAGATTGAAGAAAAAGCGTCACCGGGCTATGAATTTGCTTGAAATCTAGATGATCTTTGTAAATTTCTTCGTTCCTTTCGCTCAAGATCCTCTCCAAGATGTGTTTTTCTTCCTTTCAATGCGTTCTTCCTTTGTTTCTGATGGATTTGGGTATTTATATCGCGTTTAGATCAGCTTCCATTAGAATTTCATCGCGAATACGAATCTGCAGAATCGGCCCCAGGATATACCTATGCGACCACATAGGTTTATGGAATTTGGCGTATTATTTCCCTGACTTGGTGTTCGCGACCGCATAAGGTTTCTATCATGCGACCGCATATTAGAAAAAACTTTCAAATTATGTTATGTTGGTCCTAAAACTTTATTCCTCCACTTCTTGACCTCCTTTTGTGTTTCTAGTTGTTCCAATGTTTCATTATAACTTACAATTGGTACTTAGCTTGATCAATTGCTTGATGTGTCTGTGAAATCAAATTTTCAAATAATTGCACTTTGGTCCCTGAACTTTCACTTTTCTTCAATTTAGTCCTTTTTCGCCTCTTTTCTCCTAAATTTCACCATGTTCATCAGTATATTCTATGATACACAAATTAACAGAAGTTAAATCATAATTCCAATATTTTGCTCTTAATTACGTCATTTTTGTGAATTAAATAAGTGTGTAAAAACACACTTACCAATCAATACTTCATATCAGGCCGTATAATCTCGTCCAAATTCTCAACAAATGGTATCAAAGCTTTAGTTTGATTTTTTCGAGGTTTCTTGTTATTGATGTCAACCTTGAGTTATGACATTCAACTTTTGGATCGCAGTACTCGATTCTTGCAGTGGCATGAGACGATGCAGTACTCACTTAGATGGATTTGGATTACGCGTTGTTGGAATTTGATAAGATGCCCACAACTTGAACGATGGAGGAGAAACAATGGAAGGATCAAACGTTGCTTTTACAAATTCGTTTTCATCTTTCGAATAATATTCTTAAGTTTTGAAGGGAAAAACGACAAATACGTTGTGGTCGAAGTTGGAGTAATTCTATATGATTAAGAGTTTGACAAGTAAATTGCACATGAAGTCAAGGTTGTATTCTTATCGCATAACAGAAGGCAGATCATTGGAAGATCATTTTGGCTGTTTTTAAGGAAATCAGAAGATTTAGATTTCATTCTTTCGTGTTTATTGTTTGCTTCGTTTACTTCATTTAGAGACACAATTTTGTATAGTCGTGATACTTTCATCATTGAAGATGCATATGATGTTTTGTTTTAAAAGGAGAAGATGAAATATCTAATTGGATTTGAGGCTAGAGACGGACAAGGCCTTGTTGTTCATTGTGGTCATAGAAGCGGTAGGTCAAAATCCTATTTCAATAATCAAATTTATTTTATTTCAAGAAAAATGGGCACATCAAGAGGAATTGTAACAAGTTGCAGAAAAAGTAAATTTGGCTACAAATCAAAAGGGAAGGAATCAGAAACTTCAAGTGAAGCTAATGTCGTAGAGGATTATTTGAGTGATGGATATGTATTGGCTATTTTTAACAGCAACTCCAATCTTAAAGAGGATTGGATTCTAGATTGTGCTTTTCATATATGTCTCAATTGGGATCTGTTTGTAACATATGAAACAATTTTGAACAACCACTTTGTCGTGTAGCTGGAATTGGTAAAGTCAAATTGAAGTTGTTGAATGGGATAGCTAAAACACTTGGTCAGGTTCAACATATTTTAGATTTGAAGAAAAATCAATGTCATTAGTTACTTTTGATTGAAAGGGTTATAAGTTATTTGGTGGAAATGGAGCTTTGAAGGTTTGTAAGGGTGCACGGGTTCTATTGGAGAGATAGAATAGTTCTCATTTATACATCTTGCAAGGTCATGCAAAATCTATGAAGATTAATCAGCAAAGGTTTAGTACCGTGGTGGCTATTCAGTCTGGTATTGTATCGTTGGGATTTAGTTTAAGGTCCGTATTGAAGACTACAACTCAGTCGGGTTCAGTGGATATTGGTAATGCCGATTTACCACCATCACCTATAGTGTCATCTTATGTAATTGCTATGGATAGATCCCTTGAAGAACGGTACAAGAAAACTAATTTTGTTGCAAATGCTTTAAGCGTATTTGCAGATGTTCAAACTAGCAAGGGGCTTTCTAGTTTCTACAAAAAGCATTTAGTTTAGATTATGTTTCAAGGTATGTTTTGGCCCTGTTTGGCCGATTTTAAAATCATTATTTAATTTTTTGGGTTGAACCCAAAGTAATTTTATGGAGCAGTTCTTGGATTCAAGTATCATAGTTGGAATTGTGGAAGAGGTAGACTATTTTTAGTTTTTTGGATAAGTTAGTTTAGTTATTGTTGAAGAGTTCAGTTCATTCTTTACAATTTGATTTTTTTCTCCAGGTGGGTTAATTTTGGAGACATGATCATAGTAGTGGAATATGTGTCGAGGTGAAGATTGTTGGGTTTTATGATTCAAAATTAGATCAGGGGTTGCATGATTTGAAGTATTGGGCTTGAAGATAACAAAATAAGGTACAAGAAGAAGATTAGGTGACATGGCTCTAACCTGCCCCTGCCCACTACTCAAGCGGTGGGACGAATTTTGGAGCAGAGAGCCATTTGCTCAACTACCCCTAAAGGACCGCTTGAGTAGCACTACTGACGTTCGCCAGGTACGAGGCTAGTGCTCGAGCTACGAACCATCAAATTTTTTTTTCTCCTTTTTCATTTTACATGCATTTGATGTAGTTTCCATCTTTTGAGCTATTATTAGAGCTTGACATGTATCCCTATCAATAGTACACTTTTCTTTACAATTAGATAATTATTGAAAGTTAAGAGTTATTGTATAGGAACACAATTATTGCATTTTCTCTCCATTATAGTTGTTGAATAAAAACTCCAATTTCTCT